TAACCTGTGGCCGTGCGTCACTGGGCCACAGGTTCGGCTGGTGTGCGGCTGAGCGGACTGCATGGGGCCACAGGAACTGGGGGGCACCGGCATGGCACATGGAGGTCTGGCAACCTCCGTGACCAGGCCGATGCGTCGCTCAGCTACCCCGTTTTGCTGCGGCGAGTCTGGTAGCGTGTAAGACTCGATGATACGCTGTCCCTGACAGAACGCCTCCAGACGAGTGGAAGCAAACTCACCATCACGGTCAAAGTGGAGACAAAGCACAGGACGGCCCCACCTGGTACGCACTCCCCGCAACCACGGCTTGAGAACGTTTGTCACGTCGGCCTTCCGTCGCAAGGGTACACCGTGGTGTAGCGGGAGAAGTCGTCCACTACAATCAGGAGGAAGCGCTTCTGACGTGGGCCAAGGACCGGGGAGGGGCCCCGGACGTCCATGTGCAGGGTCTGTAAGGGAGCCGTGGTGGGGGGGAACGAGGAGGAGTGAGGGGCAGCGCGATGGCGACCCTCGACGCAAGGACTGCACGGTAGCGTACGCGAGTGGGGAAGCGGGTCTAGACACTTGGGAAGACCTGAGACCAGACGGTGACATACCATCTTACTGAGATGCGGGAAGGACGGTGGTGCCAGAGGACCGACGGGTGGGCGAATGACCGATAGTTGCATGACACAGCAGCTACCTGACCTGAACTGACTTGGCCTGACCCAGTGTGGTGGGACCCAGTGTGTAACGAGTACAGACCAGAGCCTGGCTCCCTGTGAAAAGTGGCCAGAGGCGCCCCAGTGGCATCGTCAGTGCAGGAGGGAGCAAACTCGTCCGTAGGGAAAAGGGTGGCGACACCGAGGTAGTGGAGGTGACTGACACCCACCAAGTTCCTGGAGAATGAGGGGGTGTAGTAACCTATAAAGACCCCACAGGGGGCCGCAGGATACGAGAGAGTGGTGGTACTGTGAGCAACGTCAGGTCCCACTATGGGGTCAGCCAAGGCGACAGTGACTGGAGTGCGCAATGGTGTAAGATCGGTGCAGTCGCGGGAGAAACAACTAGACGCCCCAGAGTCGAGAACGAAAGAGGCGTAGTCGCTGAGGTTGTACCCGTGCGAGCGAGAAGGGCAGGTACTGGGCTTGCGGTAGCCGCAACTCCCACACAAGGACCCTCAGAAGCACCTAGGCTAGAAACTACACAAGCACCAAGACTAGAAACACACGGCCCTACAATAGCAATCAGCAAAGGTCCTAGACTAGGAAGGTGCGGATCGACAGATCCAACAGTACTAGAGTTTGTTAGAATGTGAGAATGAATGAATGATTGAACAGAATGCAAAACATAAGTATATAGGAAACCCTAATTGAAACTAGGGCAAAATGTGACACCTAGACTAACATTACAAAAATCTAGGAGCTATAGTTTGACACACCCCCATAGTCTAGGTGACGGCAGTCCTGTGATAAAGCAAGCAAGCACGAAGTCACCACACAGTCTGAGAGCAAGCAAGTGTCACAAGACCAGTTAGCAAGAACAAACAAGAAATCCCAGGATGGATCACAAAGTCACCACACACTCCGAGAGCAAACAAGAGGCCACAAGGTTAAACCACAAGCAGAGATATATAAAGAGATGCAAGAGTACAAGACAAAACATCTCTACGCAAGCAAGTGTGAACCTGCAGGCACAAGGCCTAGCTGGGTGTAGAAAAGCTGGTGGTCACAAGGCGGCAACGACTAGGTGAAGATATATGCAATGTTGGCCACGCGGGCCTAGCCACGCTGCTGTAACTCGCGCAGAAGGAAGTAACGAAGCTGGATGTGTTTCGCCTTCCCAACCAGTCGAGGCTCCTCGCACAACTGGACAGCATACCTGTTGTAAGCGAACAAGACTGGGGGAGAGCGAGGCCACTCACCAAGGTCGGTGAGGAGGACAGATAGTCAGCGAAGCTCCTGTGCGGCCATGGCCGCAGCGTACGCCTCTGCTTCACAGCTGGAGCTAGCAACGGACGACACCCGAGTCGACCTCCACAAAACAACTCGTGTCCCAAGGCTGAAGGAGTAACCCTGTGTAGACCTTAGCGTCTGGGCACAGTCCGCGTACGGCGAGTCCGAGTAACATGTGAGTGTAATTGGCTCCTTCCCTCCAAGGACAAGTCCCATGCGTGATGTTCTCGCCACAAATTCTGCCACCCTCTTAGCAGCCAACCAGTAAGAAGGTCGGTGTCTCCCAGGTGCAACAAAGAGCGCCAGAACGCTGAGAGGGAAAGCTAGGTCTGGGCGAGTACAGGTCATTAGGTACATGAGACAACCCACCAACTCAGGATATGGACCACTGGGCTCAAATGACTCGTCCGAAGGTGGAGCAGTGAGCCCATTACCTGTTAAACTATGAACGGGAGAATGAATCACTAGAATGAGCAAGTACAAGGGAAGATATAGGAAACCTAACTCTAGCACTAACAAAGTAGTACACCACCTAGACTAAACAATACAAACTGTATCACATATAGTTTGACATTATCCACAGCAAGAGGGTGAGCTGTACCTTGGAGAATGGGAAGCGAAACCGCATGAGGATCTGCTCGACCATATGAGACTGCGTCAGCGTAATGGTGCGAGCTGCCTTGTCCTTGGTGATCTGCAGGCCAAGGTAGCGCTGCAGCTTACCAAGGCAAGTGTAAGTGTGTCTCCTCTGCAGTTCCTCCTTCACGGAGGCCAGTGCGCTGCGGTCGGGAGTGGCAAAAACCAGGTCATCAACGTAAACCAGAATGAAGAACGGGGTCGAGCCTCGGCGGACGAAAAGCGACGGGTCGGCAGACGACGGGAAGAAACCAAGTGCTGCAAGCGTCGTGCGAAGTGTGTCGTGCCACTCGCGGGGAGCCTGGAGCAGGCCGTAGACCGGTCGACGCAGCTGCCACCGGGTCCCAGGAGGGAAAGAGCCAGTGAAGCCAGGCGGGCGACGCAGCCAGATCTGCACGTTCAGGCTCCCCTGAAGGAACGCTGTGGAGAAGTCCAAGGAGTGCAACCCGTAGTCGCGCTGGGCTGCAATATGCAGCAACACCCGAAGAGTGGTCATCTTTGGCGTGGGAGCGAAGGTCAGGAAGAAGTCTACCCCCTCTCGTTGACTAAAGCCTCTCGCCACGTAGCGCGCATTGAACACCGGTGGTGATCCAGGCGGCCCGTTTCACCTTGTAGAGCCACATGTCACTGACGACGTTCGCCCCAGGTGGTGGGACTGCGTCGACGTAGGTGCATGTGGACCTATACGATGCCATCTCTACCTCCTCAGTTGCTATCCAGTACGAGGCCCAAGGTCCCGAGACCGCCTCAGCGTGAGTGCGAGGGATCGGGATGTCAAGGGCGTTTGGATCCCCCTCAAAGACAAGCAGCATGGCGCAGAGATGAGGAACGGTGGCCGCAAGGAAACCAAGCTCGAACTGCCTGTCCTCTAGGACCTCGAAGGAAAAGACAGGAGCACCCCCAGAGGACGGAGAATGAGCAGGGCCACTCACCAGGTGAGCGGCGTAGTCAAGGCAGTGGGAAGAGGCAAAGCCAGCAACAGTGGTATCAAGTGCCGAGACAGACACTCGGGGGGCAGTCAGGTGCGTAACCAACGAGGACAGACTACGGGAGACGACAGGACGGGAGGCATGGAGGTAGTCGGAGAACGACTCAGGAGGCTGCGGAAGGACCGGAGGAGGTGGACCACGAGAGCGGAGAACAAGGTGAAACGGGCCGCCGGCACGGTAACGAGACCGACGAGGCTCTAGAGATACAGCACGACTGAGAGGAGCACGACGGGACCACGGGAACGAGGAAAGGGACTGGACAGGAGGAACGGGAGGAGACAGTAGGGGACCACGGACCAAGCGTGCAGGTGCTGGGTTAGGCAGGTCTCGTAGTCGCTACTGCTCAGCCTCCTCTGGCGTCTACTGCGACGGTACCTGCTCCTGGTGCTGCTCCGGCTGTGGCTCCTCCTTTACCCTCTCCTGCTGCGGCCGCAACTGCACCTGTTGCTACGGCGATGGCTCCTCCCCTACCCTCTCCTGCTGTGGTTGCAACAAACCTTGTTGCTGCGGGTGTCGCTCCTCCTCTACCCTCTCCTGTTGCGGCTGCAACTTCACCTGCTGCTACGGCCGTGGCTCCTCTCTCCTGCAGTGGCTGCAACTGAACCTGCTGCTGCGGGTGTGGCTCTTGTTTTTCCCCTGGAGGTCCTGGAGGACCGACAGTTCGAGCTTGGTTTCCTTGTGGCCACTGTTCCTCATCTCTGCGCCGTGCTGCTTGCCCCTGAGGGGGATCCATACGCCCTTGACATCCCGATCCCTCGCACTCACGCCGAGACGGTCTCGGGACCTTGGGCCTCGTACTGGATAGCAGCTGAGGAGGCAGAGATGGCATCTTATAGGTCCACAGGCACCTACGTCGACGTCGTCCCACCACCTGGGGCGAACGTCGTCAGTGGGATGTGGCTCTACAAGGTAAAGCGGCCGCCTGGAGCACCACCGGTGTTCAAGGTGTCGAAGGACTAACTTAGCTAGGAACCGGGTTTAAGAGAGCCTAGGCTTAGTAGCCTAGGCCAAGCGGGTGTCGAGAGACTTGTCACCAAGGAGAATTGGAATGAAGTGGTTTCACTATAGCACACAAGGTACATATAGCAAAGCACAAAAAGAAAGAGGTGCACCATCATACAAGAGAACTACACTACAGTTACAATACTGGTAGAATATACTAAATAGATATAAATCTATTCTGACACACTCCCTTTCAGCCTGAAGTGGATAACCTTATGCAGAGCCCCCCTTGAAGGGGTACACCTGTAAAACCCCAGTACTGGGCGTGGGAACACCAGCAAGGGGCCCCCTCTGAAGCTGACAAGCAGCTCACACCAAGCAGCAGCTGAACCGCCGCGGTGGAACAGGTGCCCGGCTGCGGTTGAACGCCCCGCAGCAGGTGCTCGGTGTGGAGGAGCCGGGTTACGGGTAGCGGGTAGCGGGTTCGAACGGGCAGCAACTAGATGCAGCACGGGACGAGCAGCACAAAGGTGACGGGCAGCATGAGACCGGGCAGCAAGGCACGGGTAGCAACGGGAGTCACGGGAACGACACGGGATACACGGTGAGAACACGGGCAGCACGGGACACGGGTGGCACGGGGCAGAATCAAGGGTAGAACACGGGCAGAACAACGGGCAGCAACACCGGCAGAATAACAGGCAGCAACACGGGCAGAATACGGGCAGAACCGGGGAGCATACGGGGCGCGGGGTGCGGGGTGCGAACGGGGCATGACACAAGCTGAACGGGAGGCACGGGAGTGGTATCGGGCGGACAGTACGGTACGGGCGGCAGGAGGCAGAGCGGGGCAGCACGGCACACGGGTGACACGGGGCAGAATCACGGGTAGAATACGGGCAGAACCGGGTTGCACGGGAGACACGGGCTGAACGAGACGCACGGGAGCACGGGAAGCACGGGGCAGCAACGGGGGGCAACACGGGCACACGGGCACGGGCAACACAGGAAACGACACGGGCAGCAACGGAAGACACGGGGTGCGGGTAGAACAAGGGCAGTAACGGGAGGCAACACGGGCACACGGGCAGTAACGGGCGGCAAGCACAGGCGACGACGGGCAGCACGGGCAGAACGGGGCAGCAGCACTAGAGGACACGGGCAGGGTCAGCACGGCACACGGGTGGCACGTGAGACACGTGCAGAAACGCACGGGAGGCACGGGGCAGCACGGGAAGCACGGAAGCACGGGGGCAGCACGGGAAGCACGGTAAGCACGGGAGCACGGGGCAGCACGGGAGCACGGGAGGCACGGGGGCAGCACGGGAGGCACGGGAGCACGGGATGGGCAGCAAGGCACAGACGACGTCACGGGCGGAACGGGAAGCACGGGGTGAGAGGAGGAGGAGGCGGCTGCTGCTGCAGCTGGACTCACACCACCCCCTGAACCTCCCCCTTACAGCAGCAGCAGCAGGAGAGAGGGAGAGGAGGAGGTATGGCAGCATGTGCTGCAGCTGGATCACCCACAACCCACACCCCCTGAACTTCCCCCCACAGCAGTAGCAGCGGTAGTGAGAGAGGAGGAGGGAAGTGTGGAGGCGGCTGATGCTGAAGCAGGCGCGAGCGGGGTGCAGACGGGGTGCGGACAGCGTGCAGGGCGCAGTAGCAGCTTCTCCCGCCACTCCCACCATTGCCACCTCCATTCCCGCGGCCGCTCCCCTCCCCCCCTTTCCCCCCACCACTGGCCGCCACGTCCATTCCCGCCATCGCCCCCCCACTGTCCGCCACCTCTATTCCCACTGCTCCCCCCCTCGCCCCCCCTTTTCCACTGTCGCGTAAGCACGGCAGCAGGCAGGAGAGGTACAGGGGGCGACAAGGGAGGGACGAGGTGGGGACTGGAGAAGGCGGGACGGGACGGGATGGAACTGCGTGGGGACGGGAGCGGGATCGGGAGGGGGCGGGGACTGGGCGACGGGTGGCGGGGGTGCGAGCGGGTGCGGGTGGACAGTGGCGCTGATGCTGGCGGTCGTGGCAGATATCCCGCCGTCACCCCCTTCCGCCCTTCCTCCTCCACACAGCCACCGCCGCTGCAAATGCGCAGGGCAGGGACGGGTGGGGAAGCGCGGGGGGGGGGGCATACGGGGGCGTGGCGAAGGTGCAGCAGCAGCATCTCTCACAACTCCCGCCAGTTCCGCCACTCCCTTCACTGCAGTTGCGAAGACGACAGGAGGGCGGGCGGGAAGCGAGTTTGGACGGGGTGCGGGGATGGACTGGATGCGCGATGGCGGGTCCATCAGCGGGTCCGTTGGCGTGTCCGTTGGCGCGCTCGTTGGCGCGCTCGCCGGCGGGTCCGTCGGCGGATTCGTTGGCGGATCCGTCGGCGTGCTCGCCATGGGCCGCGCACGCCATGGGCAAGAACGCCACGAGCTGCGGGCGGACGGTGCACGCTAGGCTACGCGCGGGGGGACGTGCGCGTGACGGGTTGGTGGGCCCATCGTATTTGACAGGCTAGGAAATTACTAGCTCAATACCATGTCGAAGGACTACTTAGCTAGGAACCGGGTTTAAGAGGGCCTAGGCTTAGAAGCCTAGGCCAAGCGGGTGTCGATGACTTGTCACCAAGGAGAATTGGAATGAAGTGGTTTCACTATAGCACACAAGGCACATATAGCAAAGCACAAAAAAGAAAGAGGTGCACCACCATACTACACTTACACTACAGGCAGAATATACTAAATAGATATAAATCTATTATGACACAAGGCGCGCTACGTGGCGAGAGGGTGTAGACTTCTTCCAGATCTTCGCTCCCACCCCAAAGATGACCGTTCTTTGGGTGTTGCTGCATGTTGCAGCCCAACACGACTACGAGTTGCACTCCTTCATGGGAGCCTGCACAAGCATATCTGGCTGTGTCGTCCGCCTGGCTTCACTGGCTCTTTCCCTGCTGGGACCCAGTGGCAGCTGCGTTGACCTGTCTACGGCCTGCGCCATGCTCCCCGCGAGTGGCACGACACACTTCGCACGACTCTTGCAGCGCTTAAATTCTTTCCGTCGTCTGCTGACCCGTCACTATTCGTCCGCCGTGGCCTGGGCGTTCTTTGTTCTGGTTTACGTTGATGACGTGGTCTTCGCCGCTCTTGACCGACGCGCACTGGCCTCCGTGAAGGAGGAACTGCAGAGGAGACACACTTGCACTGACCTTGGTGAGCTGCAGCGCTACCTTGGCCTACAGATCACCAGGGATAGGGCAACTCTCACCATTACGTTGGCGCAGTCACATATGGTCGAGCAGATCCTCCTGCGGGTTCGCTGCCCGTTCTCCAAGGTACACCTCACCCCTCTTACTGTGGATCATGGGCTCACGGCTCCACCTTCGGACGAGTCATTTGAGTCCAGTGATCCATATCCTGAGTTGGTGGGTTGTCTCATGTACCTGAAGAACTGTACTCGCCCAGACTTGGCCTTCCCTCTCAGCGTCCTTGCGCGCTTTGTTGCGACGGGAAGACACCGACCATCCCACTGGTTGGCTGCTAAGAGGGTGTTGAAGTATGTGGCGAGCACAAGAGGCATGGGACTCGTCCTTGGAGGGAAGCAGCCAGTTACACTCACAGGTTACTCGGACTCGTCGTGGGCCGACGACGCTAAGATGCTGCGGTCTACACAAGGGTACTGCTTCAGCCTTGAGACCGGAGCTATTTCGTAGAGGACGACTCGGGCGTCGTCCGTCTTCAGTTTCAGCTGAGAGCAGAGGTGTACGCTGCGGCAATGACTGTCTTTCCTCCTCACCAAACTTGGTGAGCGGCCTCGATCTCCCCAGTCTTGTTCGCTGACAACAGGTCTGCTGTCCTGTTGTGCGAGGGGCCTCGACTGGTTGGGAAGGCGAAGCACATCCAGCTTCGTTACTTCCTTCTGCGCGAGTTGCAGCAGCATGGCCAGGCCCGTGTCATCCATGTGGTCTCTGAGGCCAACACTGCACATATCTTCACCAAGGCGTTGCCGCCTTGTGACCACCAGCGTTCGTACCCAGCTAGGCCTTGTGTCTAGCGGCCCTCACTTGCTTGCGTAGAGATGCTTTGTCTTGAAGTCTTGCATCTCACAATATTTGCTATATATCTGCTTGTGGACTGGCCTTGCGGCCCCTTGCTTGCTCTCGGAATGTGTGGTGACTTCGTGATCCACCTTGAGATATGTGTTGCTTTCCATTGGCCTACCGTCACCCAGACTATGGGGGTGTGTGAAACTATAATTGTTATAGTTTGTTAGTTTAGTCTAGGTGTTACACTAAGTTATGCTGTAGAGGGTACAGCCCCTTTTAGGGTTTGCTATATGTTTCCTTGTACTGTTTGTTGTGTGTTGCTTTCCACAGGACTACCGTCACCTAGACTATGAGGGTGTGTCAAACTATAATTGTATAGTTTGTTTTTGTTAGTCATGTTATGTACACTCATGTGCTAGGGTTAGCTTAGGGTTGACCTATATCCTTGTTGTTTGTTTAATTCTATCCCATTCATTTGATAATTCCTAGCGTAACAAACAGCCCTAGATTCCAAGGCGACTGGCCGCAAAAACAAACGAGGATGGAACTGCGGAACTGACGGGAAGCCAGTGGGTTAGGCAGGGTGAGACCGACTCGAGGCAGCCGTGTCCTCCATGGGAGGGGCCTCCACGCCCACACCCTCTAGGACCCGCACCCTCCGCAGCTGCACCTCCCACAACCCCAGACACGACAGGGACTGGACGCTGCGGTGGAGACGACTGCGCAATGACGTGCGACACACCTGACGGGGCAGGACGCGAGGGGGGTGGGGGGGCTACCGGGGCGACTTGGGGGGGCTCAGGGGTGAGGAACAGCGGGGGAAAAAGACCTCAGAACCTCGGTGGGAGCGCTATTGTAGTAATCGACCGACTCGTCGAAAGTGACGTCCTCGGAACTGAAAAACTGGCATGTGACCAGGTCGTAGAAAGTCCAACTGGGGGCGTCCAGAGGGAAACCAAGAAAGACGCAGGAACGGGAACGAGCAGACAACTTGTTCGCGCCAGGGGCGCGAACGTGAGCAATAGAACCCCAGACGCGGTAGTCAGGTGCTACACCATAGGACCCTGTCCAAAGGAAGAGCGGCGTCACCTGTGGCCGTGCGTCACTGGGCCACAGGTTCAGCTGGAGCGCGGCGTAGCCCACAGGAACTGGGGGGCACCGGCATGGCACATGGAGGTCCGGGCAGCCTCCATGACCAGGTCGATAAGTCGCTCAGCTACTCTGTTCTGCTGTGGCGATTCAGGTAGCGTGTAAGACTGGGTGATCCCCTTACCCTGACAGAACGCCTCCAGGCGAGTGGAAGCAAACTCACCACCACGATTCGAGTGTAGTCAAAGTCCACAAAGGCCCTGGGCACCACCCCTTGCTAGTAGTGACGGCTTGAGGACGGTAGGCACTAACCCCGTAACAAAATCTATAGTAACCTGCTGCCTGGCTCGTTCGGGTGGCTGAATTGGTTGCAGTTGCTACGCCTTTTTCTTCCTCGAACTTTTCATCACCGGACACGTGAGGCACGATCCCACGTGGTACTGTAAGTCGGTCAATAGCCCCGGCTAATAATAATACGACTGTAGTTGCTGTCGCGTCTTTTCTACACGGAAGTGACCCAACGTAATCCCGTCGTGTACCTTTTGCCGTAATAATTTCCGAACTAGTGAATATGCTGGTACCCATATGCGATTGGTTCCTGTTATTACGTATTAAACGCCTTTTGTCTCTGTCAGCTGCTGCGAATTTCCGGTGGTAAAAAACGGGTCGGTCTGGTAGCCGTGGGTGAATAGTCCGGTCAGTAACGGGATTGTTTGGGCGAGTAGTATGGCGTATAGTTATGCAGTGGGGCAAGTGAGGGCGTCGGCAATGTTTGATGCGCCTTTTTTGTACGTTGGAAGTGGAAACTGGACTACTAATATTCCAGCCAGCGGATCTGTCATGGGTTGAGGTTCGGTTGGGCGCGAAGGTACTATAGCGAGCAATGGTGTGTCGGTACTGTTATGTTTGTTCCTGTCAGGTAGCACCACCACACCTTGAGCGTGTGCACGATGGCGAGCATATCGCGGTCGTGTATCAGGTAGTTGCGTTCGGGCGGGTGAAGTTTGCGGGACTCGTACGCGATTTGCTGAAAACCATTTCCGAAGTCCTGCAACAGTACGGCTCCGATGGCGATGTCGCTTGCGTCGGTGACTAGCTCGAACGGACGGTGATGATCGGCGATGTGCAGTATGGGCGGTGAGCACAAGATTTGTTTTAGGGCAGAGAAGGCAGCATGCTCTTTCTCTCCACTCGTATACTCAACCCCCTTCCTCAGCAGGTCGGTCAGTGGGGCAGCAGCTTCGCCATATCGGGGACGAACCGGCGCACGTAGTTGACAAACCCCAAAAAACTTTGCTCCTCGGTCAGGTTGATTGGCGGGTTCCAGGCTTGGATCATTGCGATTTTTTTCGGGGTTATTTCCACTCCGTCGGCCGAAGTAATGTGGCCCAAAAACTCAAAGCGGTCTTGTTGAAACGCACACTTTGAATCTTTTGTGAGCAGGCGGTTCTCAGCTAGATCTTGAAAACGGCTTTAATGCCTCGTAAGTGTTGTGTCCTGTCGGGGCTGTAAATCAGTATATCCTCTAAGTAGACGATGACGCACTTAAAAAAAAAGGGGCGGAATGCCTCGTTCATCAGGGGTGTTGGTCAGTCCAAAGGGCATGACGGTGTATTCGAATGATCCGTAACGGGTTCGGAAGGGGGATTTTGGATAGTCGGTGGGTTGACGCGAATCTGATGGTAACCCATCTGATGTCAATCTTCGAAAAAATGCGGGATGTGCGAAGTTGGTCGATCAGTTCGTCGACCCTAAACGTGACTTGATAGGAACTCTGTGTTCAGTGCGCGGTAATCGATACACATGCGAAATCCTCAGTTTTTTTTCGGCGTGAACAGGATTGGTTTGGCGAACGGTGACGAGATCGGGTTGATTATTTTGTAGCGCAAATAATCCAGCTTCTTCCGACGTTCGTCCAGCTTGGGCCGGGTCAGACTGAACTGTTGCTGTACTGTCGGATGTGCCCCCCATTCCAACTTTATGCTGTGGTCCTGCGGTCGCTGAGATGGCAACCCTTCGGGCAGGTCATTGGAAAAAATCTCATTGTATTGCCTCAGAAGTGCTGCCAAGTCATCCGATACGTTGGCGAGGAGTTTATCAAAATCGCTCGGTTGCTCTGCTGCCTCGGCCTCTCGGACGTCAACAACGTACACGTCAGCTCCTGCCGCTACGGCGAGTATCATCGTGATGGCATTGACTCGAATCGGCGAAGAATCGGGCGAGCTCCAGCGAGGTAAGAAGATGATGTTACCGTTGATTTGCACA